ACAAATATCTCCGATAATGCCAACAAAATGTGATAACAAAAGTAGGATTAATTCTCATTTCCTTCGCACAAATAGTTACTCAATTTCAATTTTCAATTCAACAACAACATAATGATCCATATAGCCACAAAACATAGGTACACTCATCCCAAAGGCATTTCAAATTCACCTTTGTACCTACAACCGCTAACACACTATGAAACATTTCGCAGAAAAACAAACAAAGAAAAATTAACTGCTAATTACGCAACATTTAGCGGAAAAATTACAGCAAAAATTAACCGCTACAACTAACAAACTACAAAGAACAACATCGCTACACGTCTAAACCAAAGCAAATTTTTTTTAAACATTCAAAGCTCCAGATGAGCCCTAGTCTCCCAACCAACCAATTGGAGGCTACACCGCGTATGAACCCGAATACAATAAAGCGCGAACCGTGATACCATCGCAACTCGGGTGGTACACCTTCCCTGAGACCGTCGACAATAGAAGCGTTCAACAAGTGGGCTGACGACTCAAAGATCAGTGGAGGCGGCCGTGGTAGGAGCCAGGGCGCCGGCCACTCAGTTGGAGCTGCCTACTTCAGACCGGCACTAGAAGCGGGGCACAGTAGCCCGCAAGAGAGCGCCGAGCATCGCCCGCCAGGGGACGTGACTAAACGTCCCCCCGCCCGTGCAAGTCGGGAGCCCGGCAGAGCCCCGAGAAAAGCACCGGTAGCAACCAGGCGCAACACGGCTAAGTGACTGCCCTGGCAGTACAATGACATCACTGCTAAATAAAACTGCAAAATACAAACTACATGCTAAATACAGTTGAATTGAGTCCATCAAATATCATCATCATGATATATCATCACATCATATATCATCATACCATCGAATTGAACTCAATACAAATTACTACAAATGCAAATTACTATTTATCAAATCAAAACAAATACACTACACAAACAATTCAATTAATACAATCAAATTAACACAAATACAAAACGCTGGTGGTATACTCACGCGGATATATTAGTTTACCGCAACCTCACTAAATACAATAGTGAACCTAAAGTGGAAATTCATGACACATCGTATAAATCGATCTGAACGCAAGGCACTCAATAACGGAATGGTTTCTCTAGACTGTAATCTCGTTCAATAAACTGCGCTCAGTTCGTTATGACGCAACTCACTTTATTTAAATTACGCAATTACCTTTCAAAAATTTTCCATTGCTTCATTTAACGTGTTCGACTCATTTGTTTAATTAAAGGAAGCTCAACAAAAATACAAAATAATGGGCCGTATTCAGTGTACCTAACATAATCGACATTCCACACTGAAGGGACAAAAACCTCAATATCAATAATCATTTAAAACAAATAACAAGTTACAATTTTCTCCAAAACAACTAAATAAACAATCAAAAACCCATCAACAAAGTGTCCCGCCTACAGGAAACCTCTCTCTTTACAACTTTTATTTATTTCATTATTCAAAGTAAGATACACTTACGTTAACTACATCAAACACAATTACCACCCGCGAGTACTAACTACAGTCGGGCAACAAGACGCCAGCGAAGGCAACCAACTATCAAATCAAATCAATTAAACAAACAAATTAGTACTCCACAAGTAATAACTACAGTCGGTTAACGAGACAACAACAATGCTAATTAATAATTATTACGCTAATAATTTAGCCGACAGTCCAAATGCAATACCAAATACACACGAACAATAACGATAATGCAATAATCACCAAATTGCAATTGCCACGCTTATGTAGCAACGGTAATTATAAACCCTACTCGACGCGTACCTAAACACTCCGCTTACGCCGGCCACGGACGTGGCACAAATTCTACCTACCACTAACAAAGTAAGCGACCAAAGAAAAGAAAAGAAACAAAAATTATTTTTATTACGTGGTTCTATACACCGATCCTATCCCCTAACAAATAACACGCGAACAAAACAAATTATTATTACGTATTGCAAACAAAACAGAACCAACAGCCACGTCGTTACAACCGCTATCCGCCTCCAAAATGCTCAAAATGCTACGTATTGCGCTGAGTGGTTGCAGACCCATCAGGAGACCACGCTCTCTGCTACCAAATGTTACTGCCTCAGGCTACCCTGCCATAGTCGACTGCACTAGGGCCCATAGTAGCACAGCTCGACGGATAGACCAGAGGAGGGTCAAAGACCTGTGGAATATTAAGCTATAGCGGCTAATAAAGAACCAAACAAAACTTGCCGTTCGTCATCGAGGTAGGGTTAACCATAGGAAGACTCAGGCGGAAATGTTGGTGTGTGTGTGTCATGATTAGTGCGAGTTCAATTGTGTAACCCGATATCCCCGCAGGTTGCAGAACAGCAGAACCAAAGGGATCCATCTTAGGGGCAGGCAGCCACAGCACCTCAACTTCTCGGAAACTATGTTCTTTTATCACTTATTAATTATTGTCCAATTAATTGTCTTTATGTTCAAACCATAAAGTCCATCGACGTTAACACCGCGTCGATTCAATTAACGGCGCGGGCGCCGCGCGCCTAGCGAGGAGCGCCCTCGCGGAGAGCCGGGTGCAGCCCGGCTCCGCCGTCGACTTCCTCACAGCTCGGCTCGATGACGACGGCGCGCGACTGACTCGTAGCACGATGCTGCCAGCTGCTAAGTCCCCTCGCCCCGACAAACCTCTCTCCACCCCTCTCGAGATACGACAATCCACTATCATGCGCTAACACAAGTGTTTGTTAAAAAATGGCAATGACACCTATCCTACATTATATATCCTATACAGATTCACTGTTAGGCAAACTTGTTCCATCCATGTAACATAGTAGATACAGAAGAAGATCTTATTGAAAAAGTTTATCAGTCTATTGAACAGAATTATCTAAATAGGACATGGTTGTGTGAGATTTTAGCTACAAAAAAATGATGTAGTACACCAAATTAATGAAAGAATATGAAACCAGATAAAAAACTGTATAAATCAATAGACACAATGATGAATCAAGATAAATTCACCGAATCCACCTGGTTAGCCTTTGCATGTATTAAAGCTAAAAATTTATTATAATTTATTATTATGAAATCTCAGTTCGTCAAAATTATGCAACGGTACAAGATTATGTATAAAACAACTTCTCAACAACATTATTGAGGTAGTAATTCTAACTGGCAAAGAAAAAGGAAAATCCATTTTTATATCACGAATTCAATTAATTTCAAATGATTTACCATTCTGTTTTAAACGGTTACAGTTTCCTCTACGATTGGCTTACGGTATAACTATCAATAAGGCACAGGATCAAACGTTCCTATACAGTGGAGTGAATTAGTTAGCTTTGTCGCGCTTTGGATAGAAATTTTTTTTATTCGTGTATGCACCGGAACACAACACAGTAAATATAGTGCATAAGAATCATTAGTCATTCAGTACATGACTATCTGTAAAGTATTTTTGTATAAAGATTAAAACATATGTAATAAAAAAACTTAAAAATATCATACGAAAAGTCATGTTTTTAATTTAAAAAAATTACTTATTTAATAAAATGTATATACATAAATAATTAATCAACAACAACTAACCCAGAGAAGCGGGTTTTCATCAGCTGTTGTACATATTTTACCAGATACCTCACGAAGAAGATTTTGCTCCAGTGTGTATACTCAAATGCCTTAGCAAATGACTTTTTGTAATAGATTTATATTCACGGATATAACACGAAAAAGGTTTTTCTCCGGTGTGTATTTTCATGTTTTTGCAGTTGACTCTTTGTTATACATCTATATTCACAGATATGACACGAAAAAGGTTTTTCTCTGGTGTGTATTTTCATATGTGTTTGCAGATTACCTTTTGCGTTACATCTAAATTCACAGATATTACAGGAAAAAAGGTTTTTCTCCGGTGTGTATTTTCATATGTGTTTGCAGATTACCTTTTGCGTTACATCTAAATTCACAGATATTACAGGAAAAAGGTTTTTCTCCGGTGTGTATTTTCATATGTGTTTGCAGATTACCTTTTGCGTTACATCTAAATTCACAGAGATTACAGGAATAAGGTTTTTCTCCGGTGTGTATTTTCATATGTGTTTGCAGATTACCTTTTGCGTTACATCTAAATTCACAGATATTACAGGAAAAAGGTTTTTCTCCGGTGTGTATTTTCATATGTGTTTCGCAGATTACCTTTTGCGTTACATCTAAATTCACAGAGATTACACGAAAAAGGTTTTTCTCCGGTGTGTATTTTCATATGTGTTTGCAGATTACCTTTTGCGTTACATCTAAATTCACAGAGATTACAGGAAAAAGGTTTTTCTCCGGTGTGTATTTTCATATGTGTTTGCAGATTACCTTTTGCGTTACATCTAAATTCACAGAGATTACAGGAAAAAGGTTTTTCTCCGGTGTGTATTTTCATATGTGTTTGCAGATTACCTTTTGCGTTACATCTAAATTCACAGAGATTACAGGAAAAAGGTTTTTCTCCGGTGTGTATTTTCATATGTGTTTGCAGATTACCTTTTGCAATACATTTATAATCACAATTATTACAACAGTACACTTGCTTAGCGACGTGCGCTTTAAGATGTGCTAAAATGCAACGTTTTTGAGATGTTTCAAATTCGCAAATATCACAGTTATATATATCCATTAGTTGTGATACTGTAGTTGGTTCAACTTGTGTCTGAACTGCATCTGAGTTTTTTTGCGTCTTATGACTGTATGATATGTGGTCGGCGAGAATATCTTTTGCAAAAAACTTTTTTCTACAATCATCACATTCAAATATGTATTTTGTTGATGCCTCATATGTGTTTTCCGTAAGTATATTTACACTCTGTTTCAAAATTTTCTTTTTCATAATTTTTGCAGGATGCTTCCCTTTTTTAAAAACTAGTTGAGTATCTCTTTTCAGTTTAGGCTTTGATTTAATTTGAATAGTAGGGCTTTCTGAATCGAGGTTTCCTTTACAAATTTCATTTATGTTACAATCAGTAGAATTTGATTTAATCTTTTCCTCACACGGCTTTGAAAAATTATTTGTTTGTATGCAGGGTTGTTCTGAAATACTAATAAATCAAACATTTTATTTGTTGTAAGACATTGTATCTTTATTGTAAGATAACTTAGACGGTTTACAATGGGCGGAGTTTATGTCTTACGGCATTCTCTCTATCAGTCAACCCAGGGAGATATAGAGAAATTGTAATATTTTCCATAATTATACTAAATAATGTTGCTAGATATATAAAGTATTTTAGCCAATTACTCTGGATAACACGTTCATTTTGGGTGGGAAAGAATGGTAAAGAATCTAAATTCGAATATTAATGATGACATTCTTCTGACTGTGTTATAATTACAATAATTTAATAATCGCTGGATCAAATCCCACACAGAAAGAGTGTTATACATACATACATTTTGACCAGTATTTTTGTAGATATTAAGAATATAGTCCAGGTCTCTAGATCGTAGTATGAGAATAATCTATTCTAACAATCGCTGTTTAGAATTTCAAACAGAACTTGTGTTACACACACACAGTACATTCGAAGTTGGCGTGTAAGTGCGGCATAAGAGAATTCATAGTTTGGTTTTCCGACAGATGGCAGACCTCGTTTGTTGTGTGACCTCGTTTACTTCAGATGTAAAATATCCAGACCGGCGACAGGCAACATTGCCAGAGGTGCTCACGTCTGGTTCTGCGATCGTCAATCCTATGCCAAGCGTGACGACTGAGGCAAATCCTCCCTACATCGGGAGAGATCCTTCCATGTGCAGCAGTGGAGGTTTACGGGACGATTAAGATAGAGGAATTAAACTCAAAACAAGCCCTGGTAGCTCAGGGACTAGCAGTTTGCTATAAAATTTCACAGTACGGTTTTTTATAATAAATTCTTTTACCTATGTCAAAGTCATCTGCTATAATCTTTGAACCATGTGTAATTAGTGGCAAGTCGTTCTCTGAATCCTCATGTCGATCTTCAAAAGCATCGATCTCCAAATCTTCTTGTTCTTTAGCAGTATCTAGAATGAAACAGATTCTGACACAATATATAAAGTCAAAACTTTTTTTCCAAACAACTAGATCATTACAGTCCATCACTCAGCTTATGGGTCCAAGCCATAAGCTAAGTGTAATATCCTGAAGTGGCAATGGGCTAAAGAACTGACAAATGATGTAGAAGAAAGGTTCTCCTAACGTGTTCTTCTATGGCAGCCTCATGCCGGTAGACGAAGTGTAGGGCGGTCCCCACACACATGCAGGAAGTCGATGGAAGCAAATGGCTCAGGACCATGCTTTGTGGTGTTCCTTGGGGGAGGCTGATGTTCAGCAGTGTACTTGTGAAGGGCTGTCATGATGATGATGATTCATTCACCTGATTTAGTGAGTGTTCGCCACAACTTGTTTTAGTAGGTGAGTGCTTGCCAGTACAAGGATGCCTTGAGCACCTTTTCTCCATATATTTTTTAGTATGAAGTGACAAACAAACTAACAGGCCACCTTATGGTATGTAGTCGATCCACCTGATAGTAAGTGGGTACTGCAGTCCATGTACTGCCTGCAACTAACTTCAAACATAAAAGGCTACAATGCGTTGTTACCTCTGACAACTAAGACGCAATGTCCACAGTCTGTGATTATACTGACTCTATACTCTTTAGACTAGCACACAATGATATTTGACGACAGAAATAGGTAAGATAAAGAGGAAGGAGTACATTTGGGTTAAGAAATTTGCAAAGATAAGTGGTAGCTTAAGTTGTAAGTTTATTAATAAAAAAAAATTATAGGATAGTGTGACAAACGAGTACACAGTCTACCTGATGGTAAGTGGTTGCTGTGGCTCACAGATATCTACATCCATCCTCAATTATGAATCAAAATGCAGATGCGTTGTCACCTATGAGAACTTAGATGGAATGCATTGTTTCCAGTAAAAAGTGTCTCCCGTTCTCCACATTCGCCATACAAAACACAGCAGCATTAAATTACTATTTTACTTTGGTATTCTATGAAAGCGTGGTCCTTCCCCGGTTGAGCCGACCCATTCGTGCTACAACTATACTACTAATATAACTGCAGCATGACTCTACCACAAATGAAATCCATACATCTTAGTGTACATACATACCGTGTAGTGGCGGTTAAGAATATCCATTACCCCATATCTTCCTGATAACAGCAACTGTACGACAAAAAAAAAACTGCGGTTGCCAACCCGCTCACCAAGCTTTGCAACTATGGCAATACGAACAATTACACAAATAGACGGCCCCCAGTCCCCGGCGGCCCCGCTATTCCTGGCTACGATGGCGACCATGGTAACGGCGGGGCAGGAGGTGCTAAAAATCTCCGGTGGAGGTTCGGTTGCCACCTACGACGACTCGACCTGGCAACATTTAACGCACGCACCCTGAGGACTGACGAGAAGATCCTGGAGCTGGAAGAAGAGATAGACAAGTTGCGCTGGAATATTATAGGATTATCCGAGGTCCGAAGAGAGGGGGAGGACTCGGTGATTGTCGAATCCGGCAACTTGTTTTATCACCGGGAGGGCGACCATCTGTCCTAAGGAGGTGTCGGATTTATCGTCCACAAGTCTCTCGTCAACAACGTTGTAAAGATTGTGAGTGTGTCGACGAGGGTCGCGTACCTGATACTCGGAATCACCAAACGGTATTCGCTGAAGGTCATACAGGTTTACGCACCAACCTCGGCACATCCCGAAGAGGAGGTGGAGGAAATGTATGAGGATATTTCCAGAGCCATGCATTCCTCCAAAACCCACTACACGGTGTTGATGGGAGACTTCAACGCAAAACTAGGCACAAGAGAAAGCGGTGAGCTGAAGATAGGGAAATTTGGAGTAGGGCAACGGAACCGAAGGGGCCAGCAGCTAGCCGACTTTATGGAGAAAAAGGGACTCTTTATGATGAACTCTTTCTTCCAGAAGCGGCCCCACAGGAAGTGGACCTGATCGAGCCCCGACGGTTCGACAAAAAATGAGATTGACTTCATTATGACGACCAGACGCCAACTGTTCAGTGATGTCTCAGTGATCGCAAGGGTGAAAACTGGCAGCGATCACCGAATGGTTAGAGGCACACTGAACCTAAACGTTAAGTTGGAGAGGTCTCGTCTAATGAAGTCAACGCTCCGTCCCCCTCGTGCTCTAATCCAGAATCCCGAAAACTTTCAGCTCGAGTTACGTAACCGCTTTCAGTGCCTACAAGATTGCAATGCAGTGGACGATATGAATGACAAGCTCGTGGAAACTGTCCATGCGGTCGGTGCTAAGTTCTGCAAGACCCGCCGCAGAAGAACACAAAACCCCTCCGATCACACTCTTAATCTCATGGCTGTTAGACGGGAGATGAGGCTGCAATCGTCAACAGATTTGACAGCATACAGGCAACTGAACAGACAGATCTCCAAATGCATGCGGCGAGACTTACGCAACTTTAATACAGCTCGTATTAATAAAGCGATCGAGCGGAACCAGGGCTCCAAAGTCTTTGCCAGAGATCTGTCTGCCAGTAAGAGCCAACTGTCAAAGCTGAAGACTGAGTGTGGCAGCATCGTTTCCAGGACACCTGAGATTTTGAGTGAGATTGAGAGGTTCTATGGGCAGCTGCACACATCATCGTTGGAGCCACACGCAAGTGTGAGTAACGATCAAAGAGCAAGTCTTATCCGACACTATTCCGATGATATCCCGGACGTCAGTCTAAGCGAGATTAGAATGGCTCTCCAGCACCTTAAAAACGGCAGGGCCCCAGGCGAGGATGGAATTTCAGCGGAGCTTCTGAAAGCGGGTGGAACACCGGTACTTGAAGTCCTTCAGAGGCTCTTCAATTCCATCCTCCATGGTTGCACTACTCCAGAGGCGTGGACCAGAAGTGCGGTGGTCTTGTTCTTTAAGAAAGGCGACAACGCTCTCTTGAAGAACTACAGACCGATTTCCCTTCTGAGCCGCGTCTACGTGCTGTTTTCGAGAGTCATTACGAATCGTCTCGCACGCAGACTCGACGACTTCCAGTCTCCCGAGCAAGCCGGTTTCTGAAAAGGCTTCAGTACCATAGACCACATACATACCCTGCGGCAGATTGTACAGAAGACTGAAGAGTACAATCTGTCACTTTGCCTGGCGTATGTGGACTATGAGAAAACCTTTGATTCCGTCGAAATTTGGGCGGTGCTACAGTCCCTTCAGCAGTGCCAAGTTGACTGTCGGTATATCGAAGTGCTGAAGTGTTTGTACAGTAGGGCTACGATGGCTATCCGAGTACAGAACCAGACCCCGAAACCTATCCAACTGCAGAGAGGTGTAAGACAGGGTGACGTTATATCCCCGAAACTCTTCACCGCTGCATTGGAAGACGTTTTCAAGCTACTGGACTGGAAAGGATACGGTATTAACATCAATGGCGAGTACATCAATCACCTTCGATTTGCCGACGATATAGTCCTTATGGCAGAATCGCTGGAGGACTTAAGCACTATGCTCAATGACCTCAATAGTGCCTTCCAACGGATAGGTCTTAAGATGAACATGGACAAAACAAAGATCATGTTTAATGTCCATGTCACACCTATGCCGGTAGTTGTTGGGAGCACTATGCTCGAAGTTGTTGACGAGTACGTTTACCTGGGACAAATAGTCCGACTAGGTAAGTCCAACTTCGACCGAGAGGTCAATCGACGATTCAACTCGGCTGGGCAGCGTTCGGGAAATTACGACATATCTTCTCGTCAAGTATACCTCAATCTCTAAAAACTAGATTGTACAACCAGTGCGTGTTGCCAGTGATGACTTACGGATCTGAGACGTGGTCCTTCACGGCTAGCCGTATGAGGACGCTCAAGGTCGCTTAGCGAACTATGGAGAGGGCTATGCTCGGAGTTTCTCTGCGTAATAGACTCAGAAATGAGAATATCAGCAGTAAAACCAGAGTGACCGACATAGCCCAACGGATTAGTAAGCTGAAGTGGGAATGGGCCGGCCATATAGCACGAAGAACCGATAACCGATGGGGAAGAAAGGTTCTCGAGTGGCAGCCTCGTACTGGTAGGCGTAGTGTAGAGTGACCCCCCACTAGATGGAGTGACGACCTGGTAAGATATGCAGGAAGTTGATGGATGCAGGTGGCTCAGGACCGTGCTTTGTGGCATTACTTGGGGGAGGCCTATGTTCAGCAGTGGACTTGTGAAGGGCTGTAATGATGATGATGATGATACATACATACTGGCTGCATTTATACGGGGTCAAAACAATTATAAATATATTTATGTCAAATGTCTATAAATATATTTATACATAAGTAAAAGAAAATTTCTAACAAAGATGATGTTCATGTATGCTTTTCTTTTAAATACTTATTTAATTTTCTTTTCCTTTGTCCATGATTGCGTTTTACATGCACTTTGTCATCTTTATTTATTGTTTATGTGCTACAGTAACTACTTGTCATAAGATAAATTGTACCTCATTTTAATAATATCAAAAAAAGGGATCTTACCTTTCTCATGATTCCCATTTACTTCAAATTTGTAATTCTCATATTCGAAATTCTCTTCCTCAACTTTAACAGATTCAAGGTTAAAAATGTCATCATTACAATCATTTTCTATATCACACTCTACTGGCCAGATATCTACATGATTAATTGGTGTGAATTGAATGTCATCTCTAGCCTCATGTGATTTTGGTATTACCTGAAACCAAATTATTTTACTAAATCCAGTGTAGTGGTGGTGTAGGAGAACACATACTGCCCCGTACCACCCCGCAGATGTCGTAGCAAGGGACGGAAGGAAGCTGAAACATGAGATGGGCAGCAGCACTCCCCGACAACAAGTACTAATAATGATGAAAACCCGATAAATGTGAATATTCAGAATAAAGTTAAATATGAATGTAGATAGTTCATACATTAGTTTAGTTTAGTTTACGATGGGCCGTTTTCCGTAACTCCACGTCTAAGCGCGTATTTTGCGTGTGGGCAGGAATAATGTGGTTATTCGAGCTAAGATATATCCCTGAAGAAGTTCAACAGTACTTTGATGTTGCAAGCAACTTCGGGGAGCGATACCCGGCGTGCCGAGATGTTTAGCCCTGTATAAAGCGACTTCTGGACATGTCAGCAACACATGAGCCACCGTTTCTTCCTCTCCCATGCATGCCCTGTACAAGGGGCTATCAGTAACACCTATGGTGAACAAATGTTTGTTAAAAGAGCCATGTCCTGTGATAGCACTTGTTACTATCCTGATCTGTGGCTTGTTCAGACTCAGATATTTCATCCATCCTGAGAATTGAGTCTCAACAATCTTTAGTTTCAGACTCACAAATGCCATAAATTGACAAAGATCAATATTTAATCACTGAGTTACCTATATATATTTTGTTTAAAAAAAAGTAATATAAAATTATTTTTGTAAAAATTAGTACTTAACTCACTGCAATTCATCAATTATAAAATTTTGCGTTCCAATAATTAACTTTGCAGTAGAACAAACATTCTTAAATAAGAATACTTAAACTTACACAACTTAACTTACTTAACAAAGACTTAAATAAGAATGTAGATACTTCATCCATCCCAACTATCAAGTCCCAACAATCATTTGTTTCATACTCATCCGTAATCTGACAAAGATCAATATTTGTTCATTGCGTGATATTATCATAGAGAAATATATAATATAAATTATTTTTTGTAAAAATAAGTATTTAACTCACTGTAATTCATCAAATGTAGAACATTGCTTTAAAAAAAGTTATCTTTGCAGTAAAAAAAAACATTCTCTAGTATGGCAATGGTAAGTAGCATAGAAGGTTTTTTTTTATAGAAGAGGGGGCAAACGAGCATGTGGCTCACCTGATGTTAAGTGACTACCGCCGCCCATGATCAACCGCAACACCAGGGGAATTGCAGGTGCGTTGCCGGCCCTTTAGAAAGGAGTAAGCTCTTTTCTTGAAGGTCCCCAGGTCGTATCGGTCCGGAAAAATCACCGGTGGTAAATTATTCCACAGAGAGGTTGTACGCGGAAGAAAACTCCTTTTGAAACGTACAGTGGTGGACCGCCAAGCATCCAGATGGTGTGGATGGTATCGGGACATTTGCCGTGTAGTGCGTTCACGAAATTTGGCGGCTGGGATTAATCCGAACAATTCCTCAGAGCACTCCCCATGATAGATGCGATAAAATACGCAAAGAGATGCAACATCTCTTCGCAGCGCCAGTGAATCGAGCCGATCGGAAAGCACTCGGTCGTCAACGATTCGAGCCGCTCTGCGCTGGATGCGGTCAAGTGGAAGGAGCTGGTACTGGGGAGCCCCAGCCCAGAGATAGGAACAGTATTCCATGAGCGGCCGAACCTGCGCCTTGTAAAGTTGAAGGCGGTGTGCCGGCATGAAATACCGTCCCGCTCTGCTGAGCACGCCAAGCTTTTTAGAGGCCAATTTGGCCTTCCCTTCCAAGTGACCACGAAACTGCACGTCACTCGATATGTCGACGCCGAGGATTCCGATACTGGCTGAGGCAACAAGGGGAGTGCCTTGAAACTGAGGGGATACGACAAAGGGGTTCTTTTTAGCGGTTAACGCGCAAACTTGTGTCTTCTGAGGGTTAAACTGGACTAGATTTAGTCGCCCCCAATCCGAGACTCTGTCCAGCAGAGACTCGACTTCAGACACAAGTTTGTCCCGGCACTCAGAGACGTTTTCCCGAGAAATATTGGCTCGGCCGGTGTAAAGAGCATCACCAGTGCTGTCATCTGCATAGCAATGAATGCTACGGGTTTGCTACATATCATTGATATGCAGAAGAAACAGCGTTGGCGATAACACGCAGCCCTGTGGAACACCAGCATTAATAAGCTTGCAATCGGAGCTTGCACCGTCTACAACGACCTTGATGCTCCGATCTGCAAGAAAACTGGTGATCCAATCGCACAATTTCTCGGGAAGCCCATAGGAAGGGAGCTTCGAAAGAAGCGCTTTGTGCCAAACCCGATCGAAGGCCTTCGCAATGTCCAAACTAACGGCCAATGCCTCCCCCTTGGACTCTACTGCCTCCGCCCATCTGTGAGTTAGGTAGACCAGAAGATCACCAGCTGACCTACCACGGCGAAAACCGTATTGGCGGTCACTAATCAGCTGGTGATCCTCAAGGTACCTCATGAGCTGGCAGTTTACAATGGACTCCATTGTTTTGGAGAACAAGGAGGTGATGGCGATAGGCCGGTAGTTGGACGGGTCTGAGCGGTCGCCTTTTTTAGGGATCGGGTGGACGAAAGCCGTCTTCCATGATTTTGGGACTACGCCTAGGGAGTAGGAGTACCGGAAAAGACGCGTTAAAACCGGTGCCAACTCTGGAGCACACGTCCTCAACACAATTGGGGGGATTCCATCAGGCCCACTCGACTTATGGATGTCCAGGGAGAGGAGTGCTTTGCGAACCGAGCGCTGAGTGAACTGCACTTCCGGCATGGAGCACTCACACCGCGGGATGGTCGGCGGCGTACTCCCCCCGTCATCGAGAGTCGAGTTAGACGCAAAGAAAGAGCCTAGAAGATCGGCTTTCTCCTTTGCGGTGTGGGCCAGTGAGTCGTCCTCCCTGTGCAGAGATGGAAGAGATGGCTGACAGAAATTTCCCTGGACAGCCTTGGCGAGAGACCAGAATGCACGGGTTCCAGAAGGAAGACGAACTAGTCTCTCGCCAATTCTGCCTATGTGCTCTGACTTTGCCTTGGCAATGACTCTTTTGAAGGACCTAGAGGCGGAATTATACTTCTTTTTTAGAGCGCTGGTGTTTACATCCCTGGACGCTGATGCGTCAGCCCAGGCTCGGTAGCACTCCTGCTTATAGCATGATGCTATTTTACAGGAGCGACCAAACCATGGCTGAGATTTGCCTCCAATGGGCACCACAGAGGAAGGAATAAAAAGTTCCATACCCTGAAGTACCACATCAGCGACAGAATCCGCAACAACGTTGGGATCATCCAGCGAGAAGCAAACCCGCCCCCAAGGGTAGGATGCAAAGAAAGACCGCATCCCATCCCAATCGGCTGACCTATAGTGCCAAACACGGCGGCAGCCTGCAGAATGCAACCGCGATTTCAGCGTGAGTGGCACCACACTCCGGACAAGACAATGGTCCGAGGAGCCTAAAGGGGCGTCAACGGAAATCTGATATCCGTCCGGGTGAGAGGTCAGCAGAAGGTCCTACAGGGAAGGTGCATGATCCTCCACATCTGGAATACGCGTAGGCGAAGTAACCAGTTGTGTCAGACCATATGCCAAGGCAAAATCATGAACAGATCTCCCCGCATGATCGGTTAAACGTGAACCGAGCCATTCGGCGTGATGGGCGTTAAAGTCGCCGAGGATCACGATCTCTGCGGAGGGGATCTGCTGTAGCAACGAATCTGCAGCCATTTGGACGTGGTCGAAGAGTCGGTCTGTTTCGGCATTACCACTATGGGACCTATAGAGGCACCCGTAGACGCGCGGATGGTCGTCGCTGTCTACGCGTAGCCAAAGGATGGACAGGTCCGAACCTTCAAGTCTGCCGAGGCGTCGAGAACAGATGTCCTCTCTGACGTAAACGCAAACTCCAGCCCGAGGCACAAAGGAGTGTTCCAGTTTGTACCCCGGGCAGGAGAGATACGAGACATCAGCCGGAGAGGACACCTGCGTCTCGGTCAGAAAGAGCAGAGCCGGCCTCGCCGTCTCGAGATGGTAGTGGACGGCGTTTAGGTTAGAGTGAAGTCCCCTGATATTGCAGAAATTCACGGACAGCGTGGCAGGGGTCGCCTTGGTCTTGTTGTTCCGTTTGCCCCGAGCAGTTTTAGTCTTGAGCGGAATATTGCCCCCCCCCCCCCCAAAATACGCGAGGCAGCCTGGGCACCCACGCTCAGAAGTGGAGAAACATGGTCGTGGATGCTCAGCGAGGGATTCTCCAGGGGTGCTGGTACCCTCCTGGGGTAGTCTATCATTTAATTCCGCTACCATGTTGATGGAGGGGGGGATTTGGGCCTCCGGCCACCTGCACTCACCAGACGAAACGCGGAAGCAGAGCTTCCACTTCACGCCGGTATTCTGTGAGGTCGTGGTACCACCCCGGTTTGAGCCGGCCCATACGTGCGACAGCAAAGCTGCCGCGTGGCTCTACCACTGTTAAAAAGGTGTGAGACAGGTAGTGATCATCAATATGCCTGCCAAGTGATGATTAAGGCAAATACTTCATTAAAATGGGTACAAACTATCAAGCAGTGAACTTTTATTAATAAGAAGTATAATAACATGGATCATGTAGTGGCGTTGTAAGAATATCCACTGCCCTGTATACCCACGGGACGGATGTCGTAAGAGACAACAGAGGGAAACAGGAACTGGAGTTGGGCAGCAGCATCTTGCTGATAACTACTCAGACTAATATAAACTGTGGTTGCCAACCTGCCAAGCGTGGCAAATATGGCAAAATCCCTCCTATAAAGCAATCTATGACAAACTTTTACGAGTTTTAATGGATGGAATAAATAATACCATGGACCCTCCTGCAAGCAACTGCTCCAGAATTGCATTAGACTCAATAGCCTGTTGTTGCAATATCCCGCAACGAACGAGTCTTGCATGACAAGTGAAACAGACAATTATGGGCTCCTCATTCTCATCCCTCTGAAAATATGAAAGTTTGTCACAAATATGGGAAACTATTTAAATATACAAGTTAGTAATATTTCTATTGGCTACCACAATTCTCTTCATCAATACCATTTTTTATAATATTGAAGTGACTGGCTCTCAACGTCCTTGAGGCGGGGACACTGCTTGTGGTAGAAACAGGTAAGAAGATGACATCCACCTGCCATATTCATCAACACTGCAACAACGCACTCCTAAACCACCTAAATCCATCAACTTCCTGTCTTACCAGATTGCTACTATCTAGTGGGGGGCTACTCTACAATATGCTTACCATTATGAGGCTACCACCCGAGGAATATGTTTCCCCTTCTGATGTCAGTTATGCAAGCTATATGGACACAATTCTTTAATTGATTTAAAGCATTGTGTCAAGTATGTAGGAGTTTCCCTGATGTTAAGAGATATAATTTTAAAAACAGCAGATTCACACTCTTGGGGCTCTGACAGAGCTATTTACAAGTTTGGGCTTTCAAAATTCAATCCACTAAACCTACATCAAAAATTTAACAAAAAATTGACCATTACAAATACTTATCTCATTTGCTCCAAGTAAACTGAAAATGCTTGCACTAGGAGTAATTTACAACAATAGTCAAATGGCAGATTTGAACTTACTACTTTATGGAGTTTGCAGTCCGCACCTTCCACTATTACACCCTGTCCCTCAGTTTCAAATACATATGGGCAGCAGCATTTTGCACATAACAGGTCAGAGTAATAAAAAAAACTACAGTTGCCAACCCGCCTAGCAACTATGGTAAATAATAATAATACCAGAAATGATTCGTAAAATATATTCAACTTATTTTGAAATACGCCTTTCAAATTATATAGAGTTACTGGTTGTTCAAGGCAGATATTCAAGTTCCTAGAGCACTGAAAACATCCTATCAGAGGAAAGTCTGAAAACACTTATACTAACAACTCTGAAATACTTGATTGAAACATATAAATAATACATGGACACTATGATCTTCACTTTAAATTGACTAAAGCCATTTCACTTAATAACTCACCTATTGTAGCTAAAGTGGTTGAAGTATAGAACAAACCGCCAATAAAAGTGATATCAGCTCAAACCATAAACTACTTTTAGAACAGATTGGATAAACAAATAACATACAACAACTTTCTACAGATTTGAAACCAGAATACAGTTATACCAGTTGTTTCAACTGCTGGCCTGCTAAATAATTTGTTTTTATAGAATTTATGGGTGATTTAGTTTAACAAGTACACAGTCCACTCGATGGTAAGTGAATGCTGCGGCCCATAGACATCTATATTCATCCTCAATTAATTGTCGCCCCTGAGGACCAAGACTGAACACCTCCCCATCAGTATACATGGTCTCCCTATCTCTACACTCACCATACGAAACAGCATTAGCTGCTATTTTATGATGGTGTTCTGTAAGAGCATGGTACATCCCCCGTCGAGCCGACCCATCCGTGATACAACCACAATATAGCTGCAGCATAACTCTACTACATATAAAATGATGATAATAATGACCTACAGACAGAATTTGGTCACGGAGACTATTCATCAGCGAAGGACGGGATTGTTTTACATGTGAGTGCAAGCAAACACATGTGCAAATTATTGCCTCTTCTGATTTCTTAATCTGACAGGAATATGAGTGAGGTAATTTCTACGCCTTAAAGTACATGTGCACTCACTTAATAGTTCAATAGAACGACTTTAAGTGGGTAAAACTACTGCTGATTTTAGCGCGACCTAATATTCCAGGTTAATTATTGTTTTTCAGGTACTGGTTGTAATTGCCACTTTATTTAACGCTGCACCTTAGTCTAACCCTGATCTATCGCATTTTATATCAGATATGTAATATATGTATATTATTCCAGTGATAACAACTTTTGCAATATTAAGAAGCATTATCAAACTTACAAAACTGTTCGTCAATGTTTTGTACAAATTGTGGAGACCCGACTTCTTCAGTACAAACATGCGTTTAATGACGCTTAAACAAATTCTACAAATTTCACTAAATGCCATTCCTTTATCCTGTAATATTATAATTGAATTATTTTTATAACCGAATTACCGTAGTTTTTAAAAAATATAATTTTTTTTTTATTTATAACGCGTTCATTTCGAGTTTGCCGTCGTAGACCGTTACCCATACCATAGATTACTGGTTACGACGTCACAGCTGACGGTACCGTAGACGAAAAAAGTCTATTTTTTTAGTATTCATATTTTCAATAAAGTTAAATAATAACGTGTTCGATGAAATAAAATATTTTTTGAATGATAATGATGATGAAATAATAACGCGTTCGATAAAATAAAATATTTTTTTATAGTTTTATTTTACATTCTAAATATATCAAATTAAAGATTTTCGAAATCGCTTGTTTCTGTGTCACTGTCATCACTCCATTCTGTGTCACTGTCATCACTCCATTCTGTGTCACTGTCATCAGTCTCTCCGCCCACCGAAATAATCAATTAGGCATGTCGATCTAAAATCGATTAATCGAAAAAACGATTCTTTGGAGCAAAATAATCGATTTTTAGATCGATTCGGAGCACCGCATCGATTCACTGAATCGATACAAAAACCTCTCGAATCGGACCGATTCATCTGATTCTAGAACCAGCGATAAAATTCCCGAACTGGTTAGGGTAAGATACCGCAGTTTTTTAATTTTTTGCTGTTGGGGACGCAAAAACAACCGATCTTACTTGGTTGATAATTTGAACGCAATATACAACACGTAACATAATTAACGCACTTTGAAAAAGTAGTTTGTTCAGAATTTTTTACTGAATCGATTCCTATCATTTTAATATAGGTAATATTTTATCCCAAAAATAATTAAAACTACGTAAATTACAGTCACACTAAATCTGTACAGTCAAACAAATTGAAATGGACCGTAACTTAAGGCAATAAGACTTTTAAGAGTGCAGTTTTATTTGTGTTATTACTAATTCTGTCATTCAATAAAAATAAAGAAAAATTTACTTTATTTCAAGCACGTTAAAGTCTTTGCGTTCGTGGATTTGTACTGTGACCACAACATTCTTCAGGAATTAGTATAACTAATTTGATAAATAATCAGTGCATAAAAATGTTTAACTAAAATTCAGTGTATGTATTATGATTATAACATAATATACTTGTTGGCGACGCGCCTATAAGAATATTTCAGTTTATTAAGTCAACCGATGACGAATAACTTTTCAAAGACTCGTTGTCCAATAGAGATGTTCTGATAAGAAAATGCTTAGTTAAATCTTAAAGAAATGTCGAATTAATGATATGAAGGTCTTGGGTTCGACTCCCAGGCCGGACTAGTTTACTGTTTTTCTAAGTAATATCTTTCAATAAATTCATAAGGAATTTAAGATATAAATTATGTTACCGGATTTGTTCCCCGGTTGAAATCGTCTTTCCAATGATGTAAATTCATAAGAATATTAAAGTGAAATTAGAGATCGGATTTGTTCCCCGGTCGAGATAGTCACTCTGTGCATAGGCAGAATCAACGGAAATTGATTGCATAAGTATTGTTTTATATGAGTTTAATATGTTTTGTACGAAAACAAATTCCTATTTATTATGATTGATTTATGAAAACATTCACTTATATTGTTTGATAAGAAACATGATAACTGATAAGAATCTGATTAGAGATAGTTTCCTACAGTGTGAAAATTGTATAAAGCATTTAATTTACCTAATATTGTTAAAATTGGTGTATATCAGACTTTCATTTTTTCTGATAGCCGAGAGCCGTGCAAAGTTAGTTGTTCAAATAGTGTGAGTTTACGGAAGCACGCTGGCCACGCCCTTAGGAGGCCGAATATGTAAAAATTTAAAATGATTGTAATTTCAGCAATTTATGTAAAAATGACTTATAAAACATTTCAGCTTGATTATACGTGCTAAAAAGGTGAATTCTGTGTTATTTTTGTGTGAAAATTCCTGTGTATAAGTGAAATAATGATAGTTTTGTATAAGAAATTTAAAAGTGTTTTAAATAGTGAAATAAATAGAGAAAATGTAAATTAAATTATTGTATTAGTTAACATATGTATAATTTCAAGTGGAAAACATTGTTTTAACTTTCTGTGTTAAATATTTGAGAAATTTCGATTTCGAACTTGTGATTAAAATAGGCATATTTCGTTTAATAAAATAAAGGTTTTTTGTGATATGAAAATATAATGTATATCGTAGTGTAGATATTGTTTTGTGCTATCTATATAGACAAATTGCATTTATGTATGACTTATGTGAATAAAGAGATTAAGTGAAACGTGAGAGAGTAATAGAACAAATTCATGTAATTAAGTTGCGCAAGCACGCGAATGGCGCGGTTCACTTTCGCGTATAGCTCTGGGGTAGCTTAGTAAATAGGTTTTATTGCAATTCGTTCGGGAATCCTTCGGGAAATATTCGGGAAAAAAAGTTCAAGAAAAGTGAAAAACCAGCAGTCAATAAGAAGAGTATAGGGTAAGTGATAGGGAAAAGTGATTACTCTCTCACTGAACGGTTTGACGATAATTGCTGTTTTATTCCCAAGAATTTCATCCCTTAAGTTATACAGTCCACATCGAAGAATTAAGGCGTCGGGACCGGGACGACTTCGGAAGACCCGTAATCCCCGTCTGAACCTACTTGCTGAAAAGGAAGAGGTTATCGCCCTTGTGTGTTACTCCTTTGCGGAGATCACATACGTTGTTCCCGAACCCAACGTAGGCATTATAGGAGGCCGGATCGAGAGAAGCCTCGATTCCTCCCTTCTGTTTCTTGATTGAACGTTTGATTTCCGTTGGTTCCTTTTCAATTGGTCCTTCGAGCCGGATTAAGAGGACCACCCGAACCCCGCCAGCTGGATCAAGGAACCAGCTGTGGACTGCTGGTTGTAGAGAAAGAAGACCTTCGGAGCCGAGTGAAGATCAGCAACCGAAGGAAGCCGGAGGTTTGAGCTGAAGCAATAGGACCAAAGGCCAGAAGACCAGGACGTCAGCGCTGAAGGACTGGACCTGGAACTACCGGAAGAAAGAAAACCGGGATTGCGGCTTGGGGCGTGTGCTCGCATGGGGCACGTATCGCAGCCGGGCGCAGGTGTCTTGTGAAGGCACTCATCGTGGCCAAGCAGGGCTTGGCATTTTTCCTGTCGGGCAAGCGTGCTCGGCATTTCCTGTCGGACGACCGTGTCTGGCATTTCCTGTCGGACGACCGTGTCCGGCATTTCCTGTCGGGTTATCAGGGTGCAAGAAGAAGCATCCACCGCTGCTGCTGCCGGGCGAGGGCGCTCGGACGAGGCGTCACCGGCAACTCGGCGGCGAGCACAGCATTCATCCCGACCACCTAACGGTGCCAAACGGTCGGGCTCTGGCACAACACCTTCGGGTGGAGCAGTTCTCTCGAGCGAGACTGCGCTTGCACTACCGCTCGACTGTTTCGTCATATTCCTTGGCGAGACAGTTCCTAAACCTTTCCTCCATTCCATTCCTGCACGACTCCATCCCTGGACGGCTCACCTCGGTAGGCCCCGTTCAGGATTGATAGGGCTGATAGGGCTGTTAGGGTGGTAGTAGGGTTGTAGGGTTGGGAGATAAAGGGGGGAGGGGTAGTGGTGTTAGGTTGGGGTGTAGAAGGGTTGTAGGTAAGGGGTTGTAGGGACCGTAGGGACAGTTAGGGACCGTAGGCCAACAATCACCTTCCTGCAAGATGAAGAAGGCACAAGACCAGACAGGGAGAAGCGAAGGGAGCAGGACAAGGACAGGGCTCTCAAGAAAAGCTAAAGAAGCGGAACCATCTGGAGCAACCACAGCTACTGCGTCAAATGGAGCACCTCCTTCAAGTGGAGCCACCACCGACACGTCCACATGCACGTGGGACTCAGGGACGTCCATGGCAACGACAAGCAACAGGACGGACACCAGTGGTACGCAGGCCAGCACCGCACAACAATCCGTTATATCCAGGAGTGAAACGGTGGTCGAAAAAGTAGGTCAAAGGACCGAAGAAGCGGCATCGTCAAGGACAGTAATCGGGCACACTAGTGACAAAGGGTCACAGAGAGGTAGTAGGTCATCGCGATCGGCGAGACTGAAAGCCGAATTAGAGGCGCGGATTAAATTCGAACGCTCAGAGCTCGAACGAGCACAGGCAGCTGCTGCCTTAGCCAAGTCTCAATTGGAGCTGGCACGACTCAACCGAGAAGAGGAGATCGACTCGAGTGAGGATGATGAAGAGCGGAATACTCAGGTGGAACCTTTCGTAAGGAGTTGGGTTCAGCAGACCATAATGAGCGCGCCGGTTAGTGTAACGCAACCCGATATTACTGATAAGGAAGCGTGTAAAGGATCACGCCGCAAAGGGGCGGAGGTCGAGCGCAACAAAGGAAATGCACAGAAAACACACGCGAGTGAGGTGTCAAAATTGACCGAAGCGATTGTGAGTGCAATAAAAATAGCGGGTAAAGATAAGTCTTCCCAGCTTCATTTCCTCCAGGAATTACCGGTGTTCGACGGAGACCCGGGTGAATGGATAATCTTCAAAACGGTGTTTGAAGACACAAGAAGCCAATTTTCAGGGGTGCGGAAAGTCGCACGCCTTAGGAGGGCATTAAAGGGCACCGCTAAAGAGAAGGTAAAGTCGCTGTTATTTACCTTGTGTGAACCTGAAGAAATAATGAACGCTCTCGAGAGAAGATTCGGTAGGGTTGAGATGCTCATTCTAGCCGAAAACGAGAATGTAAAGCGTATGCCAAGATTGGCAGAAGATTGCCGGAATATAGGATCTTTTGCAAGTCGTATTACGAACGTGGTTGCCACGATACAAGCGTTGAATCAACCACAGTATTTATACTCAGGAGTTAGTGAGCCGCATAGTGGAGAAACTTGGAACTATGATTAAATTTAAATGGTTTGAATATCGAGCTCAGTATCCTTTGGAGCCAGAATTACAGAAGATGGCCAAGTTTTTAAATTTATTGAGTGAACAATTTGGAATGTCCTTAAGCAATGAAAATGCGCCTGAAAAAAGGAAGCGTCCTGAATTCAGGAAGCAAACAGTACACACTGCAAAGGGAGGTGTACGCAGCTGTGCCGAGAGCGAGCGCTGTATGCGCCGAAGTAATACGAGCGAGCGTCTAGAACGCCGAAATAATACAGGGCACAACCGACAAGTGGTTATGACAACCCAGGACAAGCCTGTAAGTCGGGTAACACATAAGTGTGTTATATGCAACAAGGAGCACTCTATAGTGAGTTGTTACAAGTTTAAGGACATGAATATTCGCGAGAAATGGGAAGCAGTCAAAAAGGCGAAAGTATGTTTCCAATGTTTGACACCTAACCATAGGAGGTTAGAGTGCAAAGCGAAAAAATGTGGTGTAGAGGGATGTAGAATGTCACATCATCGAATGCTACACCGATACCCCAATGAAAATACCTCGCCACAAGGGGACGAGGGGGGGTAAAGAGGCTCAGATTACAACTGTTAGTACAGTGAATGCACTGGCATGTGCATACTTAAAGATTATACCGGTCGAGTTGCATGGGCCTAGAGGAAAGGTCAAGACAACAGCTCTTCTGGATGAGGGATCAACCATGACACTCATAGAGGAGTGGATGGCTCAGAAGTTAGCGCCTCGCGGACGTAAAGAGGAATTACTTATTGAAGCCGTGGGAGGTAAGCGAATTAACGACGACAGTTCGTATCGCTTAAACGTTAAGATAAAAGGCATTTACTCGAGCGACTTAGAAGAGATAAGTGTACAAACAATTAAGTCACTTAACCTTTCTCCTCAGTCGGTAAGCCGAGAACGTATTGCAACGGTGTTCTCATTTGACACCGATTAAGGATGAGTTGATGTATGAGAGGTCCAAACCTACCATATTAATTGGTCAGGACAATTGGCATCTCATAGTTACTCGTGAATTAATTTCAGGAGGTAAGAACCTACCTGTAGCATCGCTCACCAAACTTGGATGGGTTTTACATGGTCGGATATCGGGTGTTATTAAACCAATCAAGATTGTTAACCACATTTCCACCAAGAAGGAGGAAGACAAACAAGTGGACACCATAAATAGCTTAGAAACAGGTGAAGAAAAATCGCCAAAGGGCGTAAATGCGCTGAGAAAGCGAGAACCGTTAAGTCTACCCGACTACGGACAATTTAGCAGCTTTAAGAAATTCCTTGGGGCAACTACACGCACCTTACAAGCGGTAGAAAAATTCAAGAGTTTAAGAAAGTCGGTTAAAGGACCCGACGACGCAGCCGAAAAGTCGGTTATGTGTTCCAACAAAGTTTTAGCAAAGTCGGTTAAAGGACCCGATGGCGCGTTGGACATAGCGCTCTTGAAAAAAGCGGAATTATTAATTTGGAAATTCGTTCAAGACGAGTGTTTTTACTCGGAAATAAAATGCTTGAAAGCAGGCAAAAGCGTTGAAAGAAGTTCACGCTTAAGTAAATTATCTATGGAAATAGGAGAAGATAACTTACTCCGTTTAAATAGACGTTTACCTTTCAAGTCTAATTTGACCGAGGAAAGTAGAAAACCTGTCATATTAGACGGTAAACACGAAATCGTTTAAATGATGATTAGAGAAGTTCATCATCATTTTGGACATGCCAATCACCAGACGGTGATGAATGAAGTGAACCAGAATTTTTATGTCTTGAACTTACGTAATGTAATACGAAGTGTGTCACACCATTGTCAGTGGTGCAGAACATACAGGTCAAAACCGCAGAACGTGCCACAAGGAAATATTCCTCTGGAGAGAATAGTTCATCATGAACCACCTTTTACATGTTCAGCTGTGGATTATTTCGGTCCTATGAGTGTGACTATAGGAAGGCGACACGAAAAACGTTGGGGTGTTTTATTCACGTGTCTGACCACCAGAGCAGTACATCTGGAATTAGCAGCCTCATTGACACCAGCGTCAATGATAATGGCGTTGAGGCGATTTATCGCCAGAAGAGGAAAACCAGCCGTTATATACAGCGATAACGGGACAAATTTCAAAGCTGCGAATAAAGAATTAATGAAAGCATGCGAAGAATGCTATGAGGGCATGAAAAATGAGTCATTTAAGAAATATATTAAATGAAAATTTATACCTCCGGGAGCACCGCACATGGGTGGCGCCTGGGAAAGGTTAGTAAGATCGATTAAAATTGCGTTGACCGCTACGCTCAAGGAAAAGAGCCCACGAGAGGAGGTTCTACATACGCTGCTTTTAGAAGCAGAGCATACGGTAAATTCCAGGCCTCTGGTAACATTCAGTATGGATAGTCCTGAAGAGGGTTTGACACCCAATCATTTTCTTCTGGGACGCTCATGTGGTGATCGACCACCTGGATTATTTTTAGAGCAGCATCTGACGGGTCAACTCAATTGGAAAGCTGCATAGAGGTTACATGAATATAAGAATAAAGAATACATATAGAATACATACATACATACATACAAAAGAAAATAAAGAATACATGCCTACTTTAATACCTCGAACAGGTAATAACGGAAAATTCATGGAACCTAAAGAAAGTGATATTGTTTTGATAATAGATCATTCGTTGCCACGAAATACGTGGCCGAAAGGCAAAATTAGTAGAACGTTACCGGGACCAGACGATCACACCAGAGTGGTTGACGTCATTACTAGCACAGGTATTTTGAGGAGACCTACATCCAGAATAATAGTCCTGGTACCCGCGACGCCTCCCAAATGATGGTGCTAACGCACGGGGGGGAGATTGTTGGCGACGCGCCTATAAGAATATTTCAGTTTATTAAGTCAACCGATGACGAATAACTTTACAAAGACTCGTTGTCCAATAGAGATGTTCTGATAAGAAAATGCTTAGTTAAATCTTAAAGAAATGTCGAATTAATGATATGAAGGTTTTGGGTTCGACTCCCAGGCCGGACTAGTTTACTGTTTTTCTAAGTAATATCTTTCAATAAATTCATAAGGAATTTAAGATATAAATTATGTTACCGGATTTGTTCCCCGGTTGAAATCGTCTTTCCAATGATGTAAATTCATAAGAATATTAAAGTGAAATTAGAGATCGGATTTGTTCCCCGGTCGAGATAGTCACTCTGTGCATAGGCAGAATTAACGGAAATTGATTGCATATGTATTGTTTTATATGAGTTTAATATGTTTTGTACGAAAACAAATGCCTATTTATTATGATTGATTTATGAAAACATTCACTTATATTGTTTGATAAGAAACATGATAACTGATAAGAATCTGATTAGAGATAGTTTCCTACAGTGTGAAAATTGTATAAAAGCATTTAATTTACCTAATATTGTTAAAATTGGTGTATTTCTGACTTTCATTTTTTCTGATAGCCGAGAGCCGTGCAAAGTTAGTTGTTCAAATAGTGTGAGTTTACGGAAGCACGCTGGCCACGCCCTTAGGAGGCCGAATATGTAAAAATTTAAAATGATTGTAATTTCAGCAATTTATGTAAAAATGACTTAAAAAACATTTCAGCTTGATTATACGTGCTAAAAAAGGTGAATTCTGTGTTATTTTTGTGTGAAAATTCCTGTGTATAAGTGAAATAATGATAGTTTTGTATAAGAAATTTAAATGTGTTTTAAATAGTGAAATAAATAGAGAAAATGTAAACTAAATTATTGTATTAGTTAACATATGTATAATTTCAAGTGGAAAACATTGTTTTAACTTTCTGTGTTACATATTTGAGAAATTTCGATTTCGAACTTGTGATTAAAATAGGCATATTTCGTTTAATAAAATAAAGGTTTTTTGTGATATGAAAATATAATGTATATCGTAGTGTAGATATTGTTTTGTGCTATCTATATAGACAAATTGCATTTATGTATGACTTATGTGAATAAAGAGATTAAGTGAAACGTGAGAGAGTAATAGAACAAATTCATGTAATTAAGTTGCGCAAGCACGCGAATGGCGCGGTTCGCTTTCGCGTATAGCTCTGGGGTAGCTTAGTAAATAGGTTTTATTGCAATTCGTTCGGGAATCCTTCGGGAAATATTCGGGAAAAAAAGTTCAAGAAAAGTGAAAAACCAGCAGTCAATAAGAAGAGTATAGGGAAGTGATAGGGAAAAGTGATTACTCTCTCACGGAACGGTTTGAAGATAATTGCTGTTTTATTCCCAAGAATTTCATCCCTTAAGTTATACAGTCCACATCGAAGAATTAAGGCGTCGGGACCGGGACGACTTCGGAAGACCCGTAATCCCCGTCTGAACCTACTTGCTGAAAAGGAAGAGGTTATCGCCCTTGTGTGTTACTCCGTTGCGGAGATCACATACGTTGTTCCCGAACCCAACGTAGGCATTATAGGAGGCCGGATCGAGAGAAGCCTCGATTCCTCCCTTCTGTTTCAGAGCCCGAACGTTGTGCTCCCTCCCTGGGTTCCTGGTTCTGGGTTTATTCAATATTGTATATTTGAATAAAATAGTTAGTTGTCATTTCATTTTCATTTCTAAATTTCTAATTCTATTCCTACCTGTGGAATGTCGGTCTAACTTAATCTGTGCTGTGAACAAAACTACGTATACATACTACAATTTAATATTATAGCTGTGAACCTGTTTGAACTGTGAACTTGCGAATTTACTTTATTATCAAAAACATACATACTGTGAGCTGTAAGTACAGACGGAGTACTTTCTATTTATCTAGATGCTGTAAATAAATATTATATGTGGAAGTTTATAGTGATTTATAGTAAGGAAATAACCAGTATTGTGTCCGTGTAGCATTCATTTTGGTTCGGCTAGTTTAATAAACAGCCGAAATTTGTTCGTTTGTTTGCGCTGAATACTCGCAACCGTTACATCAATGTTACTTTGGTTTGGATGTCCGTGTATTTCGCGGGTCGATGTGATGGTTGTTTACTATTGGTCCGTTAAAGTTACGGACATCTTTTCGTCACGTGATTAACGAGGTCAACGCCGCGCGCCGTGAGAAAAGGGCACGTTTTACGCCGCTCCAAAATATATGTGCAATCGCAAGTTCCTACCCGAATTGGATCATCGTGAGTGACCGAAATCCGTGTAGCTGGGATCCCCGAAGAAGCACACGAGAGCAGGAGCATTCGCCTTCGTATATTCAGGTACGTCCGACCTTAGTAATATTGTCGAGTCAACGGTGTAGAGTAGAATCAGCCAGCGTCTATGCAAATTACAGTCCATTTCCCATTTCCAACCAAAAAAATGGTCCTTCGAGCAGGATGACAATTGGATTGGAATTACTAAATACGTAAATCCGATCGTGATTCGACTCTGCGACGTAATCGATACTGAACCTTATTGCTGCATACTTACGTTGATGTCGACTATTTTATACTGTTAGTTGCTGACTTGTAAAATGTTACTTAATTTTGAAGTATTTTCCGCATCGCATACAGCCGTTTACAAAATCGATTTTATATGTTTATTACTAAGAAACATTCTTATTAATCGCATCGACTTTTAGACAGCTGTCGCATTTAATTTACTTACCTATTATTATCATCTCGCTCCGTGAATATTTCAATCGGTTCGATTTAATTTACATAGTGGGTAGAAATCACCGCCGTGCGGCCGCGTCGCGCCAACAACCGGTTTGCAGTTTATCTAATACCGTATCGTACCTTTTCTTAGGTGCTTAACGTATGCAGCGCATTACATATATATATATTAAAACTGATTTGAATTTCTAGTCGAGTTCGCAATATTTATATACTATAAATACAGTTAAATTCTTAGATACTTATTAACTAACCTGCTCATTTATATTTCTTCAATCACGCGTGAAAATTAATTTACATTTAATTCGTAACCACAAAGATACTTTTACTCACTTTGGGTAATATAATCGTGTTCTAATAAATATATTCAAAATGACGGAAAAGGGTGCAGGAAATGATAGACGCCTTATGCAAATTAAATTGTTAGAAGCTAAGCGTCAATTGTATTTCTCACAAATAAATAAGACCTTTCAACTATCATCGAAAACAGATGAAAAATCACGGCATAGTTTCTTATCACAAGCTCGCGCCGTCGATCAATTACGTAAAGAATTTGTAACTTTGGTTGATGATATAAATTTATTAAATTTGGAAGTAGATCCCGATTATAGTATTAATTACCAGCCGTTATCAGCGTTTGACGATTTATATTATTTTATTAAGGATCTTCTGAATAGTATGGAGAGACCAAACCCACAATCGCAAGCCGTCACACATGTAATTACTCAGGAACATACCATTAAGATTCCTCGTATTGAATTGCCTATTTTCGATGGTGAATTACAGAACTTTCCTTATTTTTACGAAACGTTTAAACGTGTTATACACGAAAATAAAACGTTAACGGATTCGGAACGTATTCATTATTTAATGAGCCACCTTTCCGGAAAAGCAAAACACATATGTGCTGGTATAGTCCCGGCGGCAGATAATTACGTAATTATTTGGCAAACGTTACTAGACAAATATAAGGATAACAGAGCTTTAGCTACGACGTATCTAAATCAGTTATTTGCATTAAAAAATATTAACGGTCCCTCTGCAATAAATTTAGAAAAATTGGTAG